GGAGGGAGACGATGCCGGAGAGGAGGATGCGCGAGTGCTGTGTTACCTGGCGGATGCGAGTGCCACGAAGTTTGCACCCGCCGGTCTAGCGCGACCATTCGGGGCTGGATCGCCATTGCTCGATCTGAATACCAAAATGATGCATATATTTTCCCAAAAGAAAACGAAATGATGATATACCCTCTCTTAAGCATGTTCATTAATTTATTGGTAGGAAGTACATAAACTAAATATATACTATTAATAACACTAAAATAGTTACACACCGTGAGAACCACCACAACAATACTAGCTATTGCGGCATTCTTGCTCCCAGTAGTACAGCCTCTACAACACGAAAACTATATGTGGACCAGAACAAAAATTCTAGGAAGCTCCAAAAACACAAGATTTGAATCATGAATAAATTGCACGGTGCTTCTGTTCGCAAGATGACTTCAACTACTGAACTAAAACATAACTGCTATGCTCTTATGCCTTATGATCAAGCAAATAATATTGCAAAGAATAATTAAATAGAGCATATTAATTCCTATAGCTACTTCCCTGCCATCTCTTGGCCAAAGCTCCAGCATGCACAGGGTCAACATAAGCATGATGCATGAACAATTAAAATGTAATTTAAGAGATGTTCAGAACGATTGTTTTTTGTAAATCCGTCTTCATGATGCTTGAACAATTAAAATATAATTTTAGTTTTAGCATAAAATCGAAACAATCTTATTTTTTTGAAGAAATCAATACAATCTTATTGCAAACTGCCAGGACAAAACTCGATCTTAATATGTCACCTGCAGCTGTCCTGCTTATGAAAGTATGGCCTGCATATAAACAATTATTGTTTAAAGCTAAAGTAACATCAATTATCATAAACAAAAATATAAATTTGTATTGCGGTACTTGCTCCTAACTGGCTTGTTTAGTTGGATGACATAGAACCTAAATGGAGGCCTAAAAAAATGAATGCGGGAGAAGCAACCTGAATACTATAGGGAACGTCCAAACAGGAATTTGCACTTGAAAGCTGGAGAAGAACCTGAATACTAACCATGACGATTGCCCACGAAAGTTTTGGAGACATATATACCTAGGTGATGATGCGGTAGGCGGGGTTATGCGCGGTTACGCCTAGTACTGCCGAGATCGATGGGTGCGGCAGCCAAATTGTCAAACTGACAAGGATAGTGGACTTTGCCCTACCAAGAGGGCAACAACGGTGGAAGACGCTGGTGGAGACGTACCGATCCTTTGACGACGGCGAGCCGGTGGGGAGGGCATGGTGGAGACGCACGCTAGCTATTCGGTTGGCCGCTGGACGCTGTTCCTTTCCTTTCTTCCACGGGCAGGATGAGCTGAACGGCGGCTTGCGCGATGATCGATCCACTACGATGATCGATGATGGCCAGAGCGACGATGGTTCGTGGTGGGGGTGGGGAAGCAGGATATGGTGTCTGATCTCGTCTGCCTCTCTTTTGTGCGGTTGTCGCTACAAGGAAAGAGAGGAGGAGAGAATATGAAAATATAGGCTTGCATGTAAGGTGATTTTAGGAAAGAGAAGTGACATATTTTTTCGCAAGCCTTAATTACGCCGGATGGACGTCCGTTTCTTCCCTTCCTATTTGGCTGGCTGGAGACGTGAGATTTTTTTTCATGAGAGTTAATTGTGCCCAGATGGACGTCTGTTTCCCCTCCTTCCTATTCGGCCAGGCAATTTGAGATATTTTTTCACAAGCGCTTACGACAGGTGGACGCCGTTTGGCCGTAGGTTTCCGTCTATTAGTGGCATATGATGAGACGTGATCACATGATTCTCACGTGGAGTGGCATTTTTAGGGAAGAAGCGCCGTGTGGGCCGGGTGGGATAACGAGCATGGGATCGCACGCAGGCAGACCGACGAGCCGACGTTGGATTGTCGCACCAAAACGGTGTCCACTTTTTAGTCTTTTTAGACATGATGAGAGAAGAGATTGATGAGCCATGCTAACGTGCCGCTTGTGGTTGGTGTGGTCTTTGATAATGGCAGTTTCCTTCTTGATTGGTTGCATGGCTTCCTTCTTGATTGCACATGCACGATTCCTGTTTGCATGCACTATTGTGGCGCCGTGCATGGAAGGTGATCTGGTTGCTCGGTTTCACGTAATCCTTAATATTCTTTCTTCCTTCCAAAAGAAAAGAATGGAGATTGGTCTATAATCAATCATTCATATATAGTCCTCATTTAGCAAATTGTATTGCTATAATTGTGCATTACTAATTTGGAAGGAAGAATTTTGTTGCAAGGGATGGATGTAGGAGCGAGGGCTGCGGGAACGCAACAGGCAGGACTATGGGCCCACGTTAGAATGTCGCACCAAAAAGTGTCAATGCATTGTTCTTTTTAGTTGTAAGAGATAAGAGATATCAAGGGTGCCCTCTCTGTTCAGCTCCTCAAAGAGTATCTTCTTTATTTAGGATTTAGTGGATGGTTTAGAGCTGCATCAAGGGTAGCTGATCAGGATCGTTGGGAACTTTCAAATTCCAGAATTTATTCCAGCGAGTCTGACTTTAATGCTCTCTTCATGGGAACGATCCATTTTGCCCCTTAGGAGAAAAATTGGAGATCTTGGGCTACACTTCAATGCAAAAATTATTCATGTGGTTCCTTGTGGAAAAACGGTGTAGAACTTCTAGCCGACTTTCCAAGAAAGGACTTTCACATCCTGCTGCCTGCCCACAGCCCATTTATGACCAGTTCAATGATCCATCCAACACATTCTACAGCCTGTTCGGGAGGCCGTATCGTATCGTGGATTATTTACTGCTTGCTGGTTTGGTGTGAGAGAAAAACACTGTTCCAGCCTGGAAATTTACGATCGTTTACGAGGCAAGTGAACAGGCTGCTAGTCTCCTATGCATTCGCACAAGTGTGGTGCATAATTCTCCAACCTTTGGGCCTAATTGCTATCTCACCGGCTCGCCACAGTGCAACAATGCCATGCGTCTCTGGAGCCTGTTCGGTAGGCTGGTTCGTTTCGTTGCTGGTTCGTGAAGAAGTACTGCTGGCTGATTTGTATGAGAGAAAAATACTGTTCCGGCTGAAAATTTACGATCGTTTACGACAAGCCACAACCAAACGAACATGCTGCTAGTTGGTGGTGCGAAAGGAAATCAGGAAGGGTCTCAATTCTCTCACCATTCTCGTGTCCTGGGAGATGTGGAAACACTAGCAAGACCAAACATTATGTTGGTGCTACAGATCATTGCAGATGGCTAGTACAAAAAAGCTTACACGAGCTTTCTGATCAGTGTTGAACTTAGAGCAACTGATTTTGCCCTCTGGTAGTGTTGGTCATGTTTTCTTTCGCAAAGGGCAAGGTGTGGATTGTAAGTTTTTTTTGTATGTTAGTGTATGTTTGTTTGGGAACTCTTCTCTCCTTGTACTTTTATGTTATGTACCCTCTTTTCATCTTAATGAAATGATGCACAATTCTCCTACATGCTCGAGAAAAAAAACCACGTGCGTGGGCAAGGATGCAAATTAAAATTGCACCCATAGAGGGTGTGTCAAGGACAAGTGTGACAATATTTTTGCAGGTGTTGTCGCGGACAAGTATTTGCCTCCACCCACACCACATCTGACCTGTCGCCATCCATATGACTAAGTCATGCCATGGACTTAACCACACTAGGGCTACAGGGTATGTGGCACGACTCAGTCATGCCATTACACGTGGCGCTACCGAGTTTGCCACTTCATCTCCACATGTCCGGCACCATCTCCACGCACTAGCATGGCATCTCGAGTCATGTCTTACGCAATGGCATGATGTAGGACCTAATCGGCTGAACCACACACCTGCTGTTGCGGGCTTCGACTGAAAATATCTTAAAGAACTATAGCACAGCACGAGCTAGTGCTGGTCAGCCGCAGCCGAACAAGCCTCTATTATCCAATCGCGCTAAGACAAGTGAGATGCCTTAATAAACATTTAGTTTTAGTTTTTTTAATATTTTAGTACTCTCTCTATTCCTTAAAAAAGTGTCGTTTTAGGTTTCGTGCTAATCGATCTTTTTTTAAGTTTGACTAGATTTTTAAAAAATTTTAGCAATATTTATATCTCTAAATGAATTTATTATAAAAAATTATATTTAATAGTTATTTTAGTGATACTTATTGTGTATCATAAATATTAATGATTTATTGTATATATTTGACCAAAGCTAAAAATATTTAATTTCTCAAAAGTGAGAATGATACTTATTGTGTAGAAAAAAAATCATTTTGCCACGGACGATCGTCCATCCGGCGGCGACCGCGGAACCATCTCACTTTGTCCTCTCCGGGCCACGTGTTCCTCCCAGTCCCAGATCCCACGCCCTCCAAGCAGCAGCACGTGCCCAGCGACCGATAGGATCGCGCGATCGGCATCTACCTCTGCGCTCACTATCCAAGCTCGAACCAATCGAAACTCGCCACGTTTCTACCGCTGACGAGCCGGCCTCCCACTCCCACGCTTGGGCCCTCCAAGGCTCCAAGGTCTAAGCGTGCCCCACTTGTCAACGGTCACTACCTTCCGCCGGCTAGCGTATCATACTTCGCTCCGTGCACAAGCGCACAGCACACATCGCACACCAGCGGACTAGAATCGTCCAGTCTCGCAGAATGCAATGCGGTTTTCTGCCACCTTCTCGGTCCCGCCGTTTGCTCCCCGCGGCCGCACGAGAGCAGAACCTGCACCCGGTCCACGATCCCTACACCTCTCGAGCTCCGCACGGATCTGCCGACAAGCTCTCACGAGCACATCCACCGGGTCCATGCGAGCTCCCGGTCGCTCACGCCGTCTGCGTGGCCGAGACACTTGGGGCGCAGGGCCACCAGGATGGCCGTTATTTCTGCCGTCCCCGCGGTCCCCCACCCGTTCCAAGTCCAACCCACCCACCCATTCCCCAATTCAGCATCAGCCTCTGCGAATTGCGACAGCGAGAGCGGGAAGAGGAAACTCGAAACCCGGCGAGCGGTATGGCAACCGGCGAGGAGCACGTGGCGGCGGCGGCGGCGGTCGAGGAGACGCCGGAGAAGAAGGATCCCAGCACAACCGAGCTCCCCGCGCCCTCAGGCTGGACGAAGAAGGTTTGCCCTTCACTGCCCGCTTGGCTGGCCCCTTCCAATTTTCCTCGCACGCTCTCTGCACGCCGCTTGCTTCGGGCCCGACGGTCGCGGTTCCGAGGCCTGCGGGGGCCTGCTAGCGCTCGGATCCGGGGGTTTCGGGCTCCGTCTCTGCGAATTCCGCTGCGGGTTTCCCTAACCGAGCGGTCGGGGCTGGGGCGTCGGGTTCTAGGGTTTCGAGCTCGATTGATTCATGTCGTTCGTGGGGGCGTTTGTTATTTTGCTTATTAGTCTTAAGGCCATGTGAACACGGCTATAAGCTTTAGGAGCTTGATTTCAGCTCACTGTTCGTGCTCGCGATTGGCTTGCAGCATCCAAGTCCAACCCATGTGCGAGTTCGAGTATTGTAGACTGCAGTTTTATAGCTCTCGCTATTGCAGCATCTGAGTCCATTTATGTAGATGTATTAGGTCCTCCATTCCGTTGGATTCGGTTTAGCTGATTTTTGGTTGTAGTTTTGTTGTAGCCGTGATGCTACGTTTATCATTTGTTTTTGGACGAACAGAGCATGAACGTTTTTGCACTGTATAAGTAAGTTTCGACTTTAGAGCTCTCGATAGTGTGTTTTGGTTCTTATTTGATTCAGTATGGGTGGATCCTAACATGGTTTACCGTAGCTGCGCCATCTATTTTATCTCATGTTGTCTCTTAAGGAAGCCTGTTCGATGTTCCAACTATGGGCTATCCTCTGGTGATTTGATTGGATTGAAGTTTCTATGTTTCTAAATTCAGCCATTTCCGGAATTGAAAGGAAATCTATGCTTAATCGGCCTTCTCGGAAAAGCTTGCTGCAGCAGCGCACTTGCAATCACTGTTCTTCTATAGAGGAAATAAACAGCAGCAGCTGCAGCACACTATGCTACTAGCACCGCTGAGCGAGCCCAATGCTTTCTTTCCAACTCCTAAGTCCTAATCAATGCTATACAACCACGAGTTGGAATGAAGCGGCATAGTTGAACTTGACGCGGGAAATTTGAGCTTTTAAAACAATGCCTTTTTTCTTGGAAAGGTGTCAAAACAAAGTTTGTCGTTTTGCCCGGGTTTTCTTCAACAAAATCATGAAATTTCTTGTTGCAACGCATAAAAGTTAAGGGCTCGCCTGGAAACCTCAATTATTCAGACACGAGTCAGATGCGAATAGGTCTAGTTTCTTTCATTTAAAGGGAACTCGAAATCATGAGCTCACCTCAATACTGCCTTTTTCTGGTATGTGGAATAACTTCATTGTAGATTTGGTTAGATTGTAGGTTTTCTAGTCATGTGCTGCTTTTGCTTACGTGTACGACAAATTGCTTCCGTTGTTGTTTTCTATGGTAATTTTGGTCGGTGGATTGCTGAGTCTTGATTAATGTGAGTTGGCTGGCCTGCACTAATGTATTTAGTTCCACTGATATAGATAGATGCTATTAAGAGACAGCGTCAGTGGAACATGGACGCCTTCTCTTTTGGCGCATTGACTCGTGTTGGACACCAGTGGTCGTGTTTTATGCCACACAGGTTGGCAGCATAGATGTCTTCAGTGAAATGGAGGGTAGCACAAAGGATAGATGAGGTGGATGCAAGCAATCTGTTTTGGTACCCATTGGTGAGAGATGGTGTCTAGGGGAGGGCTTATGTGGCGACACAGCTCTAGTGCTTGTAAGATTAAGGCAGTGTGGACAGGTGACTGGTGGCAGCTCTGCGCTTTAGTTCATTGAGTTTGTAGGGGTTTGGTCAGCCACTACAAACGAAGAGGTGGGCTGTGTGGGCCAGTAAATGGCAGCCTATCTCACTCTTTTTTTTTTTCTGTTTTTTCCTTTTTTTCCCTTCTTAATCTTGCACTATTGGATGTGTATTTCTTGTGGATGTTTAATTACAGCTAGGACTCTAATCTGTTTCCTCTTCTAACATACTAAGGAAGTGGCAGAAATATACTCTTTAATATTCGTTACATGTATATAGTAGGTGTAAAAAAGGAAGATAACAGTAATATTTGTTAGATGCATGTCTGTTCCTATTTTTGTATAGTACACTGCATTGGACACTGCACCTGAATCAGACACTTAGGGCACGTTTGATTCTCACGGTGATCTCGCCTGGTCTGACCTCGCTCTACGCACACAGACAACGAGAACCTTGCTCAACGAAGTGAGCCATTTCAGCTCTCTCACAGAAGCGAGGAGAGTCTTAATGGCACAGAATCCAACGCGCTCTGGTAGAGAAACCAAACACCCGGACTTGCCTGGAATCCTTGCTTAGCTAGGCAGCACAGTGCTGAAGGAAGAAACCAAACACGGCCTTACACTTGCACCCGAATCAGACACTTACACCTTCACCTGTGACCCGGTAACACTGACAACTTGACTAGACTATACCCAATCGATCATGAGTTCATCTGGTCCTTAGCAACATCTTAACTTATATTGACATCTTCTCTCTTGATTTTGGCTCATTTGGTTCTATGATTTTTGGCTTATTTGGTTATATTGTGTAACTTCTTTGAAATTGTTTTTAGCTGATCTGTGTGGAGGGTTGGTGCGTGGCTTGTTGAGCGTGGTGCTGATAGCCTACTAAGCATGTTCTTTGTTTGATTTTGCATATGCTATTCATTGAAAGGAAAAATAAGCATAATTTGGAGAGTTCCCTAGCTGGCTGGATCCTTCACTTGGTTTTATAATGCTGATAGTACAGATAAGCTCCTGGGAACATCTTAGTTAGCACATTGTTTTCATATTTTCGTCCATGAAGTGAAATACAAGCCTTTCAAGATTCATTAGATAGACAGTTAGACATTAATTGCCTAATAGGGTCCTAGCATATGGCGAGTTCAGATAGGGAAGGAATATAGCACATTGTTGTAAATGCATCAAATGATTATAACATCCGACCTGTGTTTTACATTGGATAGTAACAGTGCCCTGGCATTTGGTGAGGATTCTTTTGTCCTTGCTCATTGATTACATCTTTGGCTTTTGGGATGATTTATTGTTGTGGTAAGTTTCATATGCTTGTTGTTGATTCCTATGTATAAAACAAGTGATAATCATGCAGGACTGTTGGCTTTATTTTTGTTTTGTGTAGATCATGAAATTTTTCTTCTTTTGGGTGTGCATGGTTCTTCAAAAATGAGGACTTCATCTAAAGATATTCTGGGAAAAAGCGGATCAATAGCACTGCGGATATTGGTTCACATATATCTCGCTTGAACTTCTGTAATCTTGTTCATGTTATTTATAGTCTTGTGTTGCAAGAGATTATGATGATTTGAAATTGGCTGGTGGCATGAGCCTTCTCTTTATCACAACCTTTTCGGATTGGTTGCATTCTTAAAATTGAATATGGGCCTACTGGCTTAATCATTTTCTGAAGGTTGGCAATAAAGGTCTTCCTCTATTTATAGAATGAACTGTAGCTCTGTCCCAGTTACGACAGTGAGCCTGCTCCTGTTGATGAATTTGTTGAAGTAATTATACTTAGAATCTGGCAGACAATATTTGTTGAAATGAATATACCTGTAACAAGTTGGCCCTTTGCTACGTTGGTCGGTATTATATAAGAACACTACCTGCAAGCAGCTTGACTTAAAGTTCAATTTCACTCGTACCATGTTTGATTGTTTTAGTTTCATTGCATATTTTTTATGCTAACTTGTTCATGTTATATTGCAGCTTGCCCCAACTCGAGGTGGACGATTTGAGGTTATTTTTGTTTCCCCAACTGGTGAGGAAATTAAGAGCAAGAGACAGCTGACCCAGTACCTGAAAGCTCATCCTGGAGGCCCTGCATCTTCAGAGTTTGATTGGGGAACCAGTAGGCATCTAGTTTCATCATTTCTTTATCATTTCTACTTAGTTTTATTGTAAATTCATCTCTTTTTGTACTAGTAGGTTTCCCAATATTCAATGTCTTGCTGCTCCCTCTAAAAATCTTGTAAGCAGGTGATACTCCCAGACGCTCAGCACGCTTAAGCGAGAAGGTCAAGGCAACTGAGAGCCCAGAGGGTGAGAAGACCCCTAAACGGGGAAGATCAAGCTCTAAGAGGGGCAAAAAGCAGGAAAAAGAAGATGCAGAGGATGCTAATGAGGCTGGAGAAGATGGTGCTTCGGAGGAAGGTAAAGGTACCGATGTGGAGATGAAAGATGCTGACAATGCTGAAGATGAGAAGAAAGAGGCCCCAAGTGCAGATGCAGCAGAGAAGACTGAGGAAGGTGAAGATAAGAAAGAGGAGGCCCCAAGTGCTGATGCAGCAGAGAAGACTGAGGAAGGTGAAGATAAGAAAGAGGAGGCCCCTGCTGTAGATGCAGCAGAGAAGACTGATGAGAAAGAGGTGGCCCCTGCTGTAGATGCAGCTGAGAAGACTGAACAAAGTACTGAAGGCCAAGCACAGCCTAATAATGTTGCTGCCCCAGAATCTGAGAATAAAGAGGACGGAAAGCCAGCTGAGTCCGAATCAGCTCCCCCTGCAATTGTTGATGAAGAGAAGAAAGAGAAGACCGAGAACGGTCAGGCAGCTGAACCTGCGGTGCCGTCCCTGGCATCTTCAGAGGGAGAGAAGAAAGAGAATGGAGGTGCCACTGAACCAGCAGCCCCGCTTGTGGCTGAGACAAAGGCAGATGCTCCTCCAGCCGTGGCAGAAAAGGAGGCTGAGAATTCAGGCCAGGTGAACACCGCCCCCCAAGAACCGACGGCAGCGAACTGCGACAACAAGGGGCAGATCCAACCTGGTGCCTCTGCTGTGAGGTGCACATAAGGGAGCTTGGTCTCAGATGGGACTCTGTCGCGTTGTGTGTTTAGGACAATACCCTACATTTGCTTTGAGAATTGTAATCGTGGTTAACCTGACAGCGCTGAGTAGCACTAGGCTGCCCAGCACTTAGTTACCCTTCCGTTTTTTATGGTGGTGGTGTGCAGCAGGGGCAATGGGCTGGCCTGTGCCGCCTCAGCCACCTTAAGCTCTGTACTACCCGGTGTAAGTGTAATTCGTTATTAGCGTGGTCTACATTGATCTCTGGAGAGGACTGGAGGACATAGTACTGTCTCCGACTGTTGTAACGTGACGTTGTGTGTGTTATTGCCTTGTGTTATTGAACTTATTATGATCCATAAATAAAGCCATTAGCGTGGCAGGGTCATTCCCTGTCCACCTTCAGGCACCAACCAGATGCATCTGTTTGTTGGCCGTATTTACAGTACTCAGCTTGCTCGGTAGCATAAATTTGCTAAGGGAGAGGGCTGGCTGCTGAGCTTGCTCGGTAGCATAAAATTTGTCAAGAGAGCTGGCTGCTGCAACAGTATTACCACCGAGCAAGCTGAGTATGGTACTCGCTACTGAAGTGTGCTGCATCAGCAGTCGTTAAGGTTTTCTTGACAGTTTGTTTGGTGGTTGGTGTTAGATGTTCTGTGATGGCTGTAGACCTTAGTTAGCCGTTGCTCGCCTGTTTGCTTTGAAAACGGCAAGGTGGAATTTCACACTGACAAATTCGCCCCCTCCTCCGTTCTAGCCGTTGCAAAGCACCCAACGGCGCACGCACCTTTGGCGTCTGCGCCCACCCAAATAAAATTATAACAGAGAAAAATTATAACAGAGAAAAAAACGCGCAGAGAGACTGATCCGTCCCCTTTGCTCTTCCCCATTCCACTTCCCAGAATCTAGCGACGGCCGGCAACTGCGACTTGCGAGTGGCGATCACACCACACTACCAGAGGGCGGAGAGTGTGCGAGTCAGTGAGAGGGGACGGGACGGAGGAGAGGAGAAATGGGAGGGCTCAGATCGAGGATCCTCAGGACCTTGCAGTCCTTCCCCAACGCCGCCGTTTCGCAGTCGTCCAACCTCCTCCTCGCGCTGCCTCCCGGTGCCGGGCCCTCGCCTCAGCCGCCCGCGACGCCGTGCGGCCACCTCCAAGAACCGGCGCCGCAGGAGCCGCCCCTGGTCGATGAAGCGGGGGCTGCGCCCGAGGTGCCCGGCGGTGGAGGCGATGACGTCGACGACGGCGACGACAAGGAGAACGTCTCGCCGGGTGTCACCCCGCGCAAGGCCAAGAAGATGAAGCTCAGCTCGGACCACCATGGGGAGGATCCCGCTGATGGCGCCACACACTACCGCCGGCCGGACCTCGCGTCCGCGACGCTCTTCGACCCGGACCTCCTCGCCGCCTTCCGCCGCGCCGTCGACGCCTACGCGCAGGCGCTCGAGGTGGCCACACGCCGCGACGACGACGGGGACGGGGACGGCGGCGGAGAAGGAGGGCCGGGCGTCGCGGATCCCCTGGAGGCGTTCGAGCTGCGGTGTCCTCCGGGCGGCGAGCGCGCTGTGGTGCTCTACACGACGTCGATCCGCGGCGTGCGCAAGACGTTCGAGGACTGTGCCCGCGTGCGCCGCCTACTGGAGGGCCTCCGCGTCGCGTTCCTGGAGCGCGACGTCTCCATGCACGCGGCCTACAGGGAGGAGCTCCGGGCGCTGATGCGCTGCGGGCAGGGGCAGGAGGAGGGCGGCGGTGGCGGCGGCGCGTTCCCCCTGCCGCCGCGGCTCTTCGTGGACGGCCGGTACCTCGGCGGCACCGAGGAGGTCGTGGCGCTGCACGAGCGGTCCCAGCTCCGGCCCGTGCTCCGCCGCGCGCCGCGTCGCGGCGCGGGGGAAGGCCCGTGCGCGGTCTGCGGCGGCGCGTGGTTCGTGGTGTGCGTCGGGTGCAGCGGCAGTCATTGGCTCCATGACGCCGGCGGCGCCGTCGCCACCGTCGCGGCTGCCAGCCGCGTGCCGTGCTCCGCGTGCAACGAGAACGGACTCGTGCCCTGTCCTCTCTGCAGCTAGATCAAATGGGAGATGGTATGGTATGTGCAGCAACCTGATTTGGGAGGCATACTTTTGATTATTTCGTCACGTGTAAAATAATCCGATCCAATTAAATCGCGTTTGTGTGATTCTAGCTCCCGTCACCAAATCAAGCTGCATATAAGTGGCTGTAGCTCCCGCTCCAATGGTTGCTCTTGCTGCCGGGGAACTGAAGGGACCATTTTTGCAGAACAAGCTGTAAATTGTTCTTTGTTCATCCATCAAATTCAACAGACTATTTATTAAGATTATTGCCTGTGGCTCCACGCTCCATTCTGTTCAGCTCGATCTCCAACCCTTCATTCAGCAACAGATGACATGGTTTTTGGAAGTGAGAGAGGTGCTAGTGTGGCAGTGACATGATTATGTGGATTTTTTTTTGGGACATGTCAAATAGCATAACACTGGGGAATTCATGAGAGAGGTGTTAGAACCTGATGCGGGTGCGAGGTGTGTGACCCGGCTAAAAACAATTAGGGCATGGTTGCCATGCCCGGGAGATTTAGCATTATAAGGATCGGCGAGATCTCACTGCAACGGCCGGTAATACGACTTTGATACACAATGGAGAGAAAAGATATAAAATTGTCACTTTTACACTTGGCACAACAGCGCGGCAGTCCAGTGGGATCCGAGGCCGCACGAGGGGGTGACAAATGACCGCGGCTGCCCTGGCCTCCGCTGCTAACCCAGCCGGGACAACACCTTCTCCTCTCCGGATTCTCTACTCCAGCTTTGGCACATACAGTACATACCTCCATCCTTCTCGTTGTACATGGGGGATCTGGACGAGCACGGAGCACCATGGGATAGGCCTGGGATGCAAGCTTCATCACACGGAGCTGACCGTGCCCAGAAACCACCTTCTCGGCTAGCACAACCATCGACGGGGCAGCGGCATGAGCAGCCTGGCTTTGACCTCCGCCCACGCCTGGAGGATAGGGCACGCGACGGAGACACATGGAACACATCATATACTCCTGACAAACTCTCAGGCAATTCCAACTGATAAGCTACTTCTCCGCGCCTCTCTAAAATCTTGAAAGGTCCAATATACCTTGGTGCTAACTTTCCTTTCATGTTAAACCTTCTCACACTTCTCATATGTGATACCTTCAAGTACACATAATCACATACTTCGAAAACCAATTCTCTTCTCCTAGAGTCGGCATAACTCTTCTATCGAGACTGAGCCACTCTCAAGTTATCTCTAATCATCCTTACTTGCTCTTCGATGTCTCTTAAAACATCTGGTCCGAACACTTGAGTTTCTCCCGTTTGATTCCAAAACAACGGGGTTCTACACTTTTGTCCATACAAAGCTTCGAAAAGTGCCATATTGAGACTTTTCTGATAACTGTTGTTATATGAGAACTCTGCATAAGGCAAACTCTTGTTCCAACTTGTACTATACTACAACGCATAAGCTCTCAACATATCCTCCAATATCTGATTAATTCTCTCAGTTTGCCCATCTGTCTGAGGATGATATGTTGTACTAAAATTCAGCTTTGTTCCCAACGAACTATGTACTTGCTGCCAAAGATGAGATGTAAATTGGGTACCTCGGTCAGACACAATTTTCTTGGGAACTCCATGTAGACACACTATTCTTTCCATATATAACTGGGCTAACCTTGGTCCATTATAAGTAGTTTTGACCGGTATAAAGTGAGTAACTTTAGTTAACCGATCTACTATTAACCAGATTGAATCATAACCTCTCTGAGTACGTGGTAACCCAACTATAAAATCCATACCAACTTCTTCCCACTTCCACTCCGATATCTTCATTGGTTGTAGCAATCCTGTAGGCCTTTGATATTCAGCTTTGACTCTCTGTCATGTATCACACAAAGCCACATATTCAGCAACATCTCTCTTCAGTATGTACCACCAATACTTCTCTTTCAGATATAAATATATCTTAGTACTCCCAGGATGAATAGAGTAAGCAAACTCATGTGCCTCACGAAGAATTGCCTCTCGTATAGCCTTATCCTTAGGCACACATAGTCTCTTCCCAAACCATAGAGTTCCATTGTTATCCATATAGAAACCTGGTGCCTTACCAATCATTATGTTTTCCGCTATCTCTTTCAACTTCGCATCCTGTAACTGTCCTTTACGTATTTCTTGCTCCAATTAGTGACAAAGCCCAAATTCAGTCGCTCAAACTCAGCACACAACTCACTTGACATCGATGTCACTTGCACCTCATTGGCATAACTCTTTCTGCTAAGAGCATCAGCAACAACATTCGCCTTTCCAGGATGATAGTGTACCTCCAGATCATAATCTTTGATCAACTCTAACCATTGACGCTGTCTCATATTCAGATCTATCTGAGTGAAAATGTACTTCAGACTCTTGTGATCAGTATAGATGTCACTCTTATGCCCAATAAGAAAGTGCCTCCATATCTTCAAAGCATGAACCACTGCTGCTAACTCCAAGTCATGAGTAGGATAATTTAACTCATGCTTTCTCAACCATCAGGAAGCATAAGCCACTACTCTGCCTTCTTGCATAAGAACACATTTGAGACCTTGACGAGATGCATCACAATAGATAGAAAAACTCTTGTTCAAATCAGGCAAAACCAATACTAGTGCAGTAGTCAATCTCTTCTTCAATTCTTTAAAGTTAGCCTGGCACTTCTCGGACCACACAAACTTGGCATTTTTCTCCAACAAAACTGTCATAGGCTTGGCAAGTTTAGAGAAACCTTCTATGAATCTTCTGTAATATCCAGCTAATCCCCACATCTGTTGGTGGTTTCCAATTCAACACATCTTTTACCTTGTTTGGATCTACTGCGATTCCACCATTAGAGACAACATGTCCTAGGAAAGAAACTTCCTTCAACCAGAATTCACACTTGCTTCGCTTAGCATACAACTTGTGTTCCCTGAGCTTC